GCATCTCCTTCCAGACACATTAATCATGACTGCCATTAGGACAAAGAACGATGTAAAGGGAGGACCTGTTCCCTTTTCCAAATGATAACCGAAATGTTCGCTGAGGCAGGTGACTTTCCAATTCAACTCAAATAACGACTAAGGTAAAATCACATAGATACCAACGGGAGAAGAGAAGACAAGTCCAAATCCAGGTGTTCAGTCTATGGTATGTTCAATGAATTAGTGCTTACTAGTATGTAATGTATACATGTATAATTTACCTTAATACTGTAATCAATTTTTATTTAGTGCTTTGCTTCAGGACAGTAGATTAGTGTATACTGCCACTTTTACTGTGTATGTGTGTTCAACTATATATATATATATATTTATGCAAAACAAATCTGATACTTATAATTTCTTCTGATTTTAAACAGTAAGGTACAATTTTCAATTTTACAAACATTTGGGTAAAACTTTCCACAAATGCATAGATTCCCATCACCAACATACATACTTAAACCTCAAGACTTGACACCGTTTTATACAGTCGTAATGACTAATCGCCTTTTTACTAGAAATATATATATATATATTATGAATTAATAAACGGTGTTTCGGGATTTTGTTTTATCCAAGTTCCATGGCATACTGAGCGAGGGTTATTTAAAATTCTTGTTTTTGCTAGGCGATCCCCTATGTACACCTCAGTATCTAAGTACGTCACTTCTATATTGGGGAAATTATACGTAAACTTAAGTAGAGGGTCAATATTGTTTGCAATTACAAAGAACTCATCAGTTTGTGATCTGTTGCACTCTGTAATCATAAAGCCATCGTCACGATATTGGCAAATCATACTTTTGCTATTTCTAAATTGAAATATGTCTTAGATTTGTGTAAGTATTGTTGACCAGTGCAGATCGGTGGTAGTGGGTGATAATATTCCACCTTCAGGCGCCCCTATAACTTGTTTATATAATGTCCCATTAAATTGGAACTCATTGTTTTCCACTATAATTTTTGCAAAGGATATTAGATCTAATTTATTTGGTACTTTAAACTTATACTTTGTTCAATCTATTTGATATAAGAAATGCTTGGTTGTATCCAGTAAATTGTCAATGTTCATGTTTGTATACATTGAGGTTAAAAATAATGGACGATAGTAATCCTGAAATTCCATGCTCACAAATGGAAGTCAAAAGACCAATGTTTAGTGAAAGTGATTTTAGCACTAAAGAGGAACCAACTATATCTACTCCAACAAGTTATGGAAGTATTAAACAACTTAAATCCCTTTGTGATGTAAAATTTAACTACACCATTCTGTAGGAACTAAATCTGGCAAAAAAGTCAAAAGCCTTCCCTCCATATCTTATTGATTGATTGATTGTTGGTTGCTTAACGTCCAGTGGCAAATATATCATGCATGTTCAGGAGGAGAACAAGTTAACAATAAATACAATAGGTAGGTCTTGTAATAATAAAGGCCATCCGGGATGATGGTCGGGAAAATTTGGACTGCCACTGGAAAATGAGGGTATATTGGATAGGGACAGAAATGTTGCCTTGCAACAGGCCACCTACGGACCCCTCAAAGAGTTGTTGCAAGGGTTCTTAACGTGCAAAGAGCGTGGCACTCATCCATATCTTAATATTTGTGTTAACTTTACACCTAGAATGCTACAACACAGTACAAAAAATGTTGTGAAGGATAAAGTCCGTGAGCCTAATGCCAGATTTAAAACGGAGGTGCTTACTTCACTTTCTAGCATAACTGCTAAAGCCATTACAGATGTTGGCAGGGAGATGGACGGTATCGTCCCAGAAGTAGACGAACAGTTCATGAATGATGAACAGTTTGAAGAAAGAAACATGTTCTTCAAAACAGCTTATGAAACATTGAACTATATCGTTGGCACGGACAATCAATATTTTGGTCTAATTATTTGGAATAGTTTGCCAAATGATATAAAGGATTCAAGACATATAGAAAGTATATCAAAAGAAGAACAGAATATAAAAAGACGATCATCACCATATTGAAGCGCCCCCTGAGTGTAATATGTTATAGATTAATTTTGTCTATCTGTCGGTCTACTATGGACACGTTTTTGTAATAGGTACTTAGGGACAGGACATTTTATTTTAAGCCCTCGACTTTTTTTCTAAAATTTGTAATTTTTTTCCTAGACACATGACATGTTTTTTGAAAAAATGTCAGTCGTGAGATCACCATGCAATGCATAGAATATCAGGATAGGCAACTCAAATGTTGAGATGAGCTATGATAAGTAGTGTACAATTTTACCCCAAAAAAGTAACCTACCCCTACTTTGCAGTAAAATTACTTTCTGTTTTGTTCATTGATAACCGAGATAAATGTCATACACGATGATGTCCCGAGGTCCAAACTGAACTCCACACAGTTAGATTCTATTGAGAACCAACTTCGTTTACCGATTTCCAGAATTTAGAAATTTAAAGAACAATGAGAAAATATAGATTTCAATTAATAATTCAGAAATACAACTGTTTAACTTATCAATAGATAAAACAAGAGGTGGAATGAGTGCCAATAAGACAACTCTCCATTCAAGTCACAATTGATAAAAGTAAACCATTATAGGTCAAAGTACGGTCTTCAACACGGAGCCTTGGCGCACACCGAACAGCAAGCTATAAAGAGCCCCTAAAAATTACTAGTGTAAAACCATTCAAACGGGAAAATCAACGGTCTAATCTATACAAAAACGAGAAAGAGAACCACTTATGAACCACACCAACAAACGACAACTACTGAACATCAGATTCAATCAGCTCAGTGGTTTTCTTAATTAGTTCATGCATGCTTAACATCTTGGTTAAGTTCAAAATAATCTGTTGTAATAATTGTTTTTCAATTCAAGCTTTATCTTTTAATCTGCAAGGTCAAGTTTAAACAAAATTGGTCGAATAATTAACACAAATGCTTTCTTAATTCTAATATTTCAGGAATTCTAAATACAACTAATTATTAATATCAAAATTAAGTATCCTGTTGTAACTTACGCAAATATTAAAACTCCCCAAAAAGTATTGAATTTAAGGTAATACGTTTTTAAAATGTCAATCTATGTTTATAAAAACAGATGTAAAAGAAAACATAAACATATTCGTTTAAATTTTTCCTTTTTTTCCGAACAAAATCATGTTGCCGCATTGTTGTCTATTATTACTGAATAGTGATGATTGCATATACAACAACTGACTTATACTTATATGGAATAGACTGACCCTTGGAACAACCCATTGAGAGTCAAAAGCATGACCAATCATAAAATATAAGCAATTCTCTCTTGCACTCCAATTAAAATTTTTATTAAAGAGCCACATCATTCAAATTTTCCAAAATTTTTATTTCTCATTTCCCTCATGATCCTTCATTTTTAAAACGATTGCAAAAAGTCCGAGGAGAAAATTTACAATAATAACAAAGCTATCAACACAGGTGTGTTTTCGTCGATTTAAATCACCTGCATAACTTTCTCGATCGGTAAGTTCCGTAAGCTCTCGGCAAAAATACGTCACATCGAGAACAGATAGATACTTCCGGTTATTGAAACCACTTTGTTTACACTGAATCTACCTACAAATACCGAATATTTATAAGTTTTTCTATTATTAAAATGCCGAGGGGAGATCGTGGTGGTAAAAGCAGTGGCAGTGGCACAAGATGTGTTGCTGCCAACTGTGGAAATACACACAAAGATGGATATTCTTTGCATACTTTTCCGAAGGATCCATCCCTTTGCCGACAATGGGTTGACTTCGCGAAGGTAAAGAGGGCAGTATGGTCTGGTTCAACAGAATATTCTGCCATTTGTTCAGATCATTTTACCGTGGATTGTTTCCCATTTCGTTTTCGGTTTGAGTTGGAACACTTGGGACGAAAACCGAAGAAAGTGCAGCTGAACTGTAATGCCATACCTTCAGTGCATGCCGCACCAGAACCATTGCCATTGGCAGTTACCCCAAGCATAAAGTCAAAGAACAGTTCCAAGGAGAAACGGAAGGCAGCTACTAAAAAATCAGCCACCTCCACATCAGCAACACCAATAGTGGCAAATACAACACCAACAGCTAGAGCAATGCCATTCCCACTAGAAATGTTGTCACCTTCTGAGGATGCAGTATGCCAAAGTTCTCCTCCAAAGAAAGTTCGTAGAGGATATGCAATGAGAGAAACTGCAAGGGTAAGAATAGTGTCATTACTTCATATATTTATTGAAATGGCAGTACCATGCAATACATTTTATCGTTTATGGATATTCTTTCAGGGGTTGGGGGTACTTCCAACATAGTATATACAAGATAATAGGACCCCCGCTTGAATAAGTCACATTCTCCAGCTCGAAATTGACAATATAAAAATAGAAGATGTGGTATGATTGCCAATGAGATAACTCTCCACAAGTGACTAAATGACACAGAACTCAACAACTATAGGTCACCGTACGACCTTCAACAATGAGCAAAGCCCAAACTGCATGGTCAGCTATAAATGGCCCCGAAAAGACAATGTAAAACAATTCAAACAAGAAAACTAAAGGCCTAATTTATGTACAAAAAATGAACGAAAAACAAATATGTAACACATAAACAAACGAAAACCACCGAATTACAGGCTAATCTGCTTTATCTGTCATCATTCTTGGTGTTCCAACTATTCATTGGTTTTATCTAAAAATGTCCCCTGTTTTTTTTTAACACTTTCATTTGGCTTTTATACTTTTCCTACACATCACAGAAAACCAAAGCAATATGGAATATATTACATTTTTATCCTATGCAATATATGTAAAGATATACATGTTTAAAATCTAAATTATATAAAAGAATAGGGTTCAGCAATATAACACAGTCACATGTATGTCAGTTTAACGTAAGTTGCAGTATAACAGTCTTACATGTACATCATCATTGATCATACTTGATGTAGATAGTAAATTTTGTGTGTTAATTGTTTTTTTTTTGCTTATAGCTGAACATATCCACAAAACAGCTGGCAATACTTCATCTGCAACAGTAGTTGACAGCAGTAAGGAAGATGGTGGGGATGTAGTAGAGGAATCAACCGATTCATTGTGTGTTGAAGAGGTAAGCTATATTTTTCATTGTACACATAACTTGCGAGGTTTAACCATTATATTGAGATGTTTACTCTTATATAATGAGAAACTTTCTAAATGTTACTCTACTTTTTTATACAATTGAAAATTCTGATATATTTTATGTAGTACAGAAGTACTAAAAACATGAAGAACTTTTAATTGTACTGTATTCTGTTTTTTTCTTTTTACAGGCTACAGAATTTGTTTTAGAAGAAACCAAGAACTGCGACGATGGGCACACAATATAATCGTAAACCAAAAAAAAAAGATCAAAGTTCTGTCAGACTAATTTATCAACAAAAACGAAACCAGTAAACACTGAAAGAAAAAAGATGGTCAATAAAGGTAAAGATTAATAATCAAATTTATATCTATATTTTTTATTAGTGTTTTTATGTCAAAGCTATGATAGAAGAGGGGCATTATTTGTTTCTGTGTGTGTGTTTGTTTGTCTGTCCTGTTCTATATGAGGTTAAAATTTAGCATTATATCCATCTGAAGTGATCTTTCCAGATTTATGTCAAATCAGGGTTTTAACCCTCATATATGATTAATCTGTGTTCCTAAAGAAATATGACATTGTTTTTTCTTAATAAAACAGGCACACAGACAGATTACATACAGAATGCTGCATCTCACATGTCTCATGCAAAACCACCCATGATAGATGACTATTGTTGGGTAAGACCAGAGCACATAGAACAAGAAATGGTAAAACCCCTACTTAAATCACAGAAAAGAGTATCCAACAGTAGTGCTGATCATGAACCACTTTCATCCCCATTTAAAGACTCGGATGTACTTGATCCAACTTTTGAACCAAGTTCTTCAGATTTGTCAGAAAATGAACAGGACATGGAGAATGATAACCATAGAAGGTATACATTTGTGTTATTATTGTGAACTGATCATATTGCATATATTTATTTATATATATATATATATTCAGTCTGGGTGGATTGAGTGGACTAGTTTTCAAATAACGAAAATATACAGAAAAGAAAATACAACTAACAAGAGGCTGTCAGAGTGACAGAAAACCGGATTTTCCTGCAGAGGTCGAAGCCTAAACAGTTGAGCAAGTATGAACACTACATTTAAGCTTAAAACAGCTCTGAATTTGGATTGTGATTGAATATTTGACACAGCATAGGTTTGTGACACAAAATGAATGTGGTTTAAGAACTGAAATACTTGAAATTGGACATTTAAATACCTATTATGGTCCAATATCAAAAATCTAAGTACATATTAGAATCAGCATATCAAAGAACCCCAAGAATTCAATTTTTGATGAAATCAGATAAAAGTTTAATTTAAGACCCTTTGGACCTCAATGTGGACCAATTTGATAAAGGAGCCCACAATCCAAAATCTCTAAATACATGGTTAGATTCAGCATTTCAAAGAACCCCATAAATAAATTTTTTGTTGAATCAAACAAAGTTTAATTTTGGACCCTGATTTGGACCAACTTGAAAACTGGGCCCAAAAATCTAATATTTAAATACAGGTTTAGATTCAGCATTTGAAAGAACCCTATATATATTTAATTTATGTTGAAATGAAACACATGTTAATTTTATCCATAATATTTTCTGTGCAAAGGGAAATAACTCAAACTGGATAAATAGTTCTCTAACATAAGATATGATGCAATTTTTCAAATTATAATCAATAATATAATAACAACAACCAGTGATGACTAAGTTCTCTAAAATTAGATATGATTTAACACTCAAACATTGCTAGAATCAGCATATCAAAGAACCAAAGAACTGAATTTTTTATGAAATTAATCAAAAGTGTAATTTAGGACCCTTTGGACCTCAATGTGGTATTATCTTATCAATAATGAAAAGAAATACAGGTTCAGATTAAGCATTTCAAAGAACCCTATATATATTCAATTTATGTTGAAATCAAACACAATTTAATTTTGGACCTCAATTTGGACGAACGAAACTTATGAGAGATATTGTTTCTACAACATAATGATTTCAATAGGTATGATTCCACAAGAAGTATTTCCATATTGGTCAACTCACTGCTGTTCTCCTCTAAAGTGGACAAGGACTACCAATAGTTTGTCAAAGTGTAGCCCATTTAATAATGTATGAAAAAATACTACAGTCCTGACGATTTGCCAGAGAACTTGAGGAAAGCTTTTGATCAGGTATTTCAATGTCATCAGGGTTAACTAAATCGTGTGAAATGTTTATTTTGGTTGTTTGTGACGAGAAGCACGGAAACAAAAGCTAACCATACTGCAGTTGCATTGTAGTACACAATGATAATTAATACCTGCTGAAAGTGATTTTGCTTCATGCAAGTTTTTATTTGTAAACAAGACCAAATATTAAAAAATAACTTGCACCTGCAACAGATTTAATACAATTTACATCAGCTGCAGTGGAATGACCGCGTCTATCAATCTACTTCAAATGGAAGGAAGAATCACCAGCTGACCTTGACTACTTTGTTACAATCCTAGTAGATAGATTGAAACCCAAGATCACTGTGTGTGTAAATTAATTTAGGACGATACCTCCCATCATGATGACAGCAGATGTCCTGTTTGAAGCCTTCTCCGTTTCATGCAAATCAGAGGATGTACTGTGCACCTTAGAAAATGTTCCTTTTGGGTACCAAGTCCAATCAATCCCTTCATGTTGCTTATAAAATTGAAAATGGAAATCAGGAATATGTCAAGGAGACAACAACCCGACAAAAAAGCAGACAACAGCCGAAGGCCACCAATGGGTCTTCAACGCAGCGAGAAAATCCCGCAACCGGAGGTGGTCATCAGCTGGCCATGATTTGACTGCAGCTCATCTGAAGTCACTTAAACCAAAGGAATGGTTAAATGACCAGGTAAGTATTTGACACTTATTTATGATCTCACAATACTCAAGAAATCAAACATATTAAGGTAGATTCGTAGTCTTGCATTTTGAAATAGCAGAACCCAAACGGTATAAATCATAAATTTGATATGATTGATTGATTGTTGGTTGGTTGCTTAATGTCCAGTGTAAATTTGATATGAAAATAAAGAGACAAGCATGACAGTTTTCATTTAAACGATTGATTGATTGATTGTTGGTTGCTTACGCCGCATTAGCACAACAATGCTATATCGCGGCGAGAGCCAACTCGAATATTTTTTACAATTTAAAGCATATTCTTAAAATCAGACAAAAGGCCCTTCAATAAACTAAAATTCTAGATTAAAGCAAATTGATTATTTACAAATAAAAATGAACATTAAGATAACGTGATAAAATTTAAAATCGTTTTAAATATAACATTTTTATATTTTAGAATATATTCCAACTTCTTTTAAAAATGAAACAATATTTGTAGATGAAACATTATTAAATAAATCATACATATTATTGACATTGAAATGCTTCTTACGAATATCAGCAAAGTCAATACAATTGATTAAAACATGTTTAATAGTATACTTGCAGTTACAAGGTATACATTGTGGTTCTACTTCATTTTTTAAAAGATATTCGTGTGTTATTCTAGTATGACCAATACGACATCTAGAAATAACACACTGATCTTTTCTGCACATAAAATTATTGAAAGGTTAACGTAAATTAGGTTTAATTTCATGTAATTTATTACCATCTTTTTTACTCCATTCATTTTTCAATATATTAAAAACATATTCTCTAATATTAGATTTAAAATCGGTATATGGTATATCACAGTTAGATAAAGGGTCACCCAGGGCATTCTTTGCCTCAAGGTCTACAGCTGTGTTTCCAAGGATTCCAACATGACTCGGCACCCATAGAAAGAAGAAGAATTTTTAAATTCCTCATTACATATAAAATTTTGAGAATTGTTGGGTTTTTAATTTTAGTATTTTGTATAGCTTGTAAGCATGAAAGTGAATCAGAACATATAATAAATTTGGATTTATCTGAAGAAGCAATAAATTTCAAAGCCAAAATTATTGCTTCTGCTTCAGCAGTAAAGATCGATGCATCAGATGGCAAACGGAGAGTTGCAGCTCTGTCCCTGAAGACAGCAGCAGATGCAACTCTGTCACCATCTTTTGATCCATCAGTATAGACAGTTGAAAAATCTGAATAATTGGCTTTGATTTCAGCATAGTGTTGCTGAATTAAAAGAGGATTTGTTTTATTTTTATTGTGTTCACGGAGATCAAATATCATTTTTGGTTTGGGAAGTTCCCATGGAGGACATTTGCAAGTTTCAACTTGAGCAACAGATTTTAAATCAAAAGAAGCTAAATGTGGTTTTAAACGTATACCTAACGGAGGAATTTTGTTTTCATGTTTTGTAAAAATATCTTCATAAATTAGATTAAAAACACAGCTGTAGGCAGGATTATCTGAGTAGGCTTTTAGTTTGACAGCATATTGAAGTCCAAGCTTCAAATGTCTGTTAGAGAGTGAGTGCTCATCAGCCTCTACATACAGACTCTCAACTGGTGAGGTTTTAAATGCGCCAAGACAGAGACGCAAACCCTGATGATGCACAGCATCGAGAATCTGTATGTAGGACTTCCTTGCAGAGCCATACACTATAGAGCCATAATCTAGTTTAGATTTAACTAGAGATCTATATAAATTAAGTAAAATGTTGCGATCAGCACCCCAGTCGGTGCTGCCGACAACTTTTAAAATATCTAATGCTTTTAAACATCTCGATTTTAACATTTTGATATGGGGTAGAAAGGTTAACTTTTTATCGAAAATTAACCCAAGAAATTTGGTTTCAGCAACCATTTTAATTGGGTTGCCGTACAAAGTGAGTTCTGGATCAAGATGCAATTTCCTTTTGTTACAAAAATGCATCCCGACCGTTTTTGAAGTGGAAAATTTAAACCCATTTTCCGAGGCCCATTTTTCAATTCTTCCAAGACATAACTGTAATTGTCTTTCTATGTTATTAAATTTAGTATTGAAAAATTATCAACTTATAAAATTCACGTCATTGATGGGAATAATAGTCAAAAGGCTCAAAAAGCAGCTTACAGAAAGACAAACGACCAAACATTTAGATTTAGAGGCGTAAATATATATCGTCAGCTGACTGAAGATGAGGCACTGCTTCTTGGTGCAAGCCGAAATGAGGACACCAGCTCATTTGTCAAATTAGTGGCCCAAAAATTGCAGGAGAGCGAACTCTTAGCTTTAGTTGAAAATTTTAAGCGGAACAAAATTGATAGTGTAGATATAATGAAAAGCCTAACTGAAACAGAGTTGAAAAACTTAGGACTGCAAACTATTGGAGACGTTAGAAACAAAGACTTATTGGAAAGTATTTAACCGTTGTACGCGTTACTGAAAAGATAATTATTTTCTAGTATAGAATATCCTAACTGATACACATATACCTTAATGAAAATTACCGAAATAGTTTATTTATGTTCTTATTTTCCTCCGTCTTCTCCATTATATCTGACATCCACATTGTTGTTTATTTCTGGTCAAGTTGAACAACAGCCATCTGGTAAGATTTTTGATTAGATTGTGGTTTCTTGTGTCCGGATTTTTTTGGTTTTATCCATTGTATCGGACATCCACATTCTTGTATATTTCAGGTCAAATTGAACTACAGGCATCTGGTAAGATTTTTTATTAGATTGTGGTTTCTTGTGTCCGGAATTTTCTGGTTTTATCCATTGTATCGGACATCCACATTATTATATATTTCAGGTCAAGTTGAACTACAGGCATCTGGTAAGTTTTCACTAACCGTATTAAAAGCGGCATTTACAAAATTACATTCAAATTTAAAAAAAAAAAACGCAAAGTGTTGTATCAAAATAATTTGTACTTATGCACATAAAGATCATACGATAATTTAAATATGGAATATTGATTTCTATTGCATGTTAACATTGTTGTTGCTAACAGTCAAAATATGATTTACAGTTGAAAACTCCACGGTCAACACTGGTTC